AGAGGAGGAGGAGGAGGATGATGATGATGAGGTTGATTCTGATGTTTCGGAACATGGCGATGATAATGATGATGAAAATGATGATGATAACGATGATGATAATGAATATGATGTGTCGGCTGATGATGATGTTGATGATGAAGATGATCATGTGGATGATGATGATGATGACGATGATGATGAATCGTATGATGTTGATGATGATGATGCTGTTGATGATTAAAATGATGATGATGATAATGATGATGATTAGCCGGTTGATGAGGATGATGAAGATGATGTTGATGTTGAGGATGATGATGAAGATTCCGATGATGATGATGAGGATGATGATGATGATTCGGGGGATAATCACGATTCGGATTATCAAGATGATCATGATGATGACGCTGACATTATTGGGGGTGATGATGAAGATTATGATGAAGATGATGACGATGATGTTTCGGTTGATGATGATTACGACGATCATTCGAATGCATATGATGATGATGATGATCATGATTCGGATGATGATGATGATGTTGATGTTGATGATGATGATGATGATGATGATGATGATGAAGATGATGGTGATGATTAGAACGATGATGATAATGATGATGATGTTGATGATGACCAGTATCATGATGATGTTTCGGATGAAGAAGACCATCTGGATGAAGATGATGATCAATTATTATTATTATTTTTATTATTATTATTATTATCATTATGTTGATGATGATCATGATAATGATATTGATGATGATTATAATGCTCGTGATGGAGATGATGATGAATCGGATTATGATGATGACGAAGATGATCATTGGGATGATGATGATAATGATGGTGATGATGATACGGATGTTCATGATGATGATGTTGATGATGATCAGGATGATTTGGAGGATGATGATGATGATGTTGATTCGTATGATGATGAAGATCTTACAAAAGATGGTGATAATGATGATTCCGATGATGATTATTTTGAAGATAATGATCATGATCATGACGTTGATGATGATGAATGGGTTGATGATGCTGATTATTATTATTATTATTATTCGAATAATGATAATGATGAGAATGCTGAAGATGATGATGATAATGAGGATCATCATGATGAGGATGATGTTGACGCTGACGATGACGATTATGGTGACAATGATGATGATGATGATTTCGACGCAGATGATGATTATTTTGATTCGAATATTGACGATGACGGTGATGATTGGAATGCTGTTGATCATGATGATGATGATGACTCGGATGATGATGATGATGATGTTGACGGTGACGATGTTGATAAGGATGTTGATGATGATGATGATGATGATGTTTCCGATGATGATGATGATGATGACGATGATGATGATGATGATGATTCGATTCATGCTTATGCTGTCGACGAAGATGATGACGATGATTATGATGATCATGATGATGATGAATACGATGATGATAATCGTCATGATGATGATGATGATGATGATGCTAATGCTGCTGATGGTGATGATAATGATCATGACCATGATGATTCGGATGATGATGATGATGTTATTGATTACGATCTTGCTGATGATGATGATGATTCAGACGATGGTGATGATCATCATGATGATGATGGTGATGATGATAATGATGACGGTGATGATGACAATGATTCGGAATACGATGATAATGATGATGACCACGATTATCTTGAATATGATGTTTCCGATGATGCCGATTCTGATAACGATGATGATAATCATGATGGTGATGATGAGGATGTTGATGATGATGATGACGTTTCGGATGATGATGATGATTCGGATGTTGATTATAATGATGCTGACGATGATGACGTTGTTGATGATGTTGACGTTCCGATTTTTGATGAAGATTCGGATGATTCGGATGATGATGGCGATGATGATGATGATTCATATGATGATGATGACGATGTTCACGATGATGATTTTGAGCATGATTTGGATGAAGATATTCGTCATGATGATGATAATAATGATGGAGATGATGAAGACAATGAAGAGGATGATGATGAATCGGAAGATACTGATGATGCTGACGTTGAGAATGATGATGATGGTGATTATGATGATAATCATGATGATGATGATTCGGATTTTGGTGATGATGCTGAAGTTGACGATGATGATGATGATGATGATCATGATTCGGATGATCATGAATAACATAACGACGATGATAATGATAATGATCATGATGATTCGGATGATGCTGATGAAATTGTTAATGGTGGTGATGATAATGATGATGATGATGATGACGATGATTAGGAGGGTGATGCTGTTAATGATGATGATAAACATGATGATGATGATGATCATTCCGATCATGATGATGTTGATGATGATAATGATGAGGATGTTCATGGTGATGATGATTATGATGATGATGGGAAGGACGATGATCATGATGATGATGATGATGATGATGATGTTTCGGATGATGATTTAGATGATGATTATGATGATGAAGAGGATGAGGTTAATCATGATGATGATCATGTTGATGATTTTGAATATGCCGATGGTGAGGATGATGATGATTATTATGATGATAATGATGCTGATGATGATGATTTGCATGATGATGAGGATGATGATGATGATGGTGATGATGAAGATGATGATGATGATGGTGATCATGATCATGATGATGATTTTGATGAAGATCATGATCATGATCATGATGATCATGAAGACGATGTTGGCGTTAATGATCATTCGGATTAAGAAGCTAATGAGGGTGATGATAATGAGGAAGTTGATATTGATGATGTTGATAGTCATGATGACGTTCATGTTCAATGAAAAGTTGAACATCTTCACGAAGATGATTATGACGATGATGATTATGATGATGATGATGATGTTGTTGAAGATGATAAGTTTGATGATGATGTTCATCAAGTTCATGATCATGTTGATGATGATCATGATGAAGATGATGATGATGATGATGAGGAGGATGATGAAAATGATGATGTTTATTAGGTCGACTATCCTGATGTTCCGGATTACGTTGAGGATGAAGATGATTCGATGAAGATTATGATAATGATTATGATGATGATGATGATGACGATTATGACTATGATCCTGATAACAATGATGATGATGATGATGATGATGAAGATGAGTATGTGGATGTTCCGGGTGGTGATGATGTGGCTGATTATGATGATAATGATAAGGATGATGACGATGATGATCATTCGGATGATGATGATGAAGGAAATGATCATGTTGATGATGACGATGATGATGGTGTTGACTAAGATGATGATGATAATGATAATGATCAAGATGATTCGGATGATGATGATGAAAATTGTGACGGTGGTGAGAATAATGATGATGAAGATGACGACAATGATTAGGAGGGTGATGCTGTTGATGATGATGAGGATGATGATGATGATCCTGATTAGGATGATGATGATGTTGATGATGATAATGATGATGTTGTTGATGGTGATAATGAATCTGATGATGATGGGAATGACGATGATCTTGATGATGATGATGATGATGTTTGGATTGATGAAGAATACCATGATGATTATGGATGATCTTGATGATGATGGTGATGATGTTTGGATTGATGAAGAATACCATGATGATTATGCTGACGGTGACGATATTGATGATGATGAAGTTGATGATGATGATGATAATGATGATGATGATGATGATGTTGATGATGATCTTGATGAATATGAGGATAATGAAAATAATGATGATGATGATGATGATGATGATGATGATGATGATGATGATGATGAAGATAATGCTGATGATGATGATGATGATGATGATGATGCCTATGATGATGAAGAGGATGAGGTTGATAATGATGATGATCATGTTGATGATGTTGAAAATGACGATGGTGAGGATGATGAGGATGATGATGATGATGATGATGACGATGATTCGTATGACGTA